ATGAGTTAGTTTCCTATTACTTCTGTAACAAATTACCAGAACTGGTGGCTTAAAACAACACGAGTTTATTATCTTATAATTCTAGAGGTCAGAAGTCCAAAACAAGTCTAACTAGGCAAAAAAGTCAAGTTGTCAGCTGGGCTGGTTCCTTCTGGTGACTGTGCAGGAGAACCCATTTCGGGAATTTTCCAGCTTCTAGAGACCACCTGCATTCCTTGGCTGTGGCCTCTTCCTCCACGTTCAAAGCACATTACTCCAGTCTCTGTTTCCTTATCACATCTCCTCTCTAACCCTGACTTTCCTGCCTCTATCTTATAAGTTCCCTTGTGATTACATTGGGCCCACCTGAATAATGCCCACCAGGATAATTTCCCCTTCTATGTAAAGTAATATATACCCAGGTTCTGGGGATTAGGATGTGGACATCTTTGGGGAACTATACACAGAATAGTATTAAAGAATTCAGTTAAATATGAGGAAAGATATAAAAATGAAGAAAGTCTTCCAATAATGACCAAGAAAGGTATTATTGCTAGGAAATTCCTTCATACCTTTCTGGTATTTGGTCTAGTTTGGATCTAGCAAATAAGATGTATAAGAACACCCGAGGAGAATAATACAATACAGTGTCTAAAAATCCAGACATGTCTGTGAAGAGGAAAATCCCCCAATTAGTAAATAGCCATAAAGAAGCAAACTATTTTACTTTCACAATAGGTTGTTGCTTTAGGAAATAACCAGTTTTGTTCTTTACATGTATCCAGAATCTAAACGCAGAAATAAAGCCAATAGCATGAGCGAAAGCATCCAGTCAGCAAAGGGCACAAGCAATCAGCCATGGTAACTGAACCAGGGCAGCAGCGAACAGCTTCAGCTGTCCATTTATTGGAACATAGAATCAGCGTGAGACTCTTATAATCTTCACAGAGTGGGGTAATAATACTGAGGCTGTCAAAATGCTGCTAGAAGGAAGAACGCAAGGGAGGATGTCAATGGATCCAAGAATTTGATATATTGAGAAAAAAGAAACCAACTGTGGCTAGCGTTTTTGTCATTCTATGTAACAGAGTTAAAATCAGACACCTGCGATTACACACTGCTGGTGGCATTCCGACTGAAAAAGCCTCTCAGTGTGAGAATTACAAAGTGCCTCTTCTCTGAGAACAAATCCGAACTGAGCGATAACCCAACATTTCAGAGAGTATCATCTCCTTAAGGGAGAAAGCAGAGGAAAAACAGTCGTCAACTGTGATTAAGGATGCACTTGACACTGGGCAGCAAGACCAAAATGAGCAAAAACTTTCTTAGAACATATTTTCATAAATTCATGGGCAAAGTTAGAATACTTGTAAGACTTAGGTCACCACATCTCTGTGTGTGTGTGTGGTACGTGCACATGATATCCTCAACCAAATAGTGCCAAAAGTGTAGTGAATGTCAACTGTGATTAAGGATGCACTTGACACTGGGCAGCAAGACCAAAATGAGCAAAAACTTTCCTAGAACATATTTTCATAAATTCATGGGCAAAGTTAGAATACTTGTAAGACTTAGGTCACCACATCTCTCTGTGTGTGTGTGGTACGTGCACATGATATCCTCAACCAAATAGTGCCAAAAGTGTAGTGAATTATGAATGATTGGTGTTTAGTTCTATGGGATTACAGCTCTGTGGAAAACTAGGTGGGAAAACTAAAGCAACTTTTCAATATGTATATATGTATAACCTTGCCTATGATGTTCATGTAATCTTAAGCGATGGTCCGGTGTGACCTTAAAAGGAAGGTGAGAATTATAATTAAGAGGGCAAGCTACAGAATCAGATCTAGGATTGAATTCTAGCTCTTCCACTTAAAATTTTTAAAACCCAAGTTCCTC